GGTTTTTGAGACATCAAATATTGCATTTTCAATAAAAACTGCAGAAGAAAAATATTAGATAAATGTGGATATCTACATAAAATTATATTATAAACACACTATCCTAAAAATACAGCACCATATTTTAAGACTAAAGCAGTCACTGACTCGCAATAACTTGCAATCATAAGTGACAGAGTTAATTTCGGGTAAAATCAATGAAAATGGGGTATGCCGATAGCATAAAAATGAGATGTGATAGAGCAAATCTGAGATCAGATTTGGAATCAGCACCCTGAAATTAGTCTAAAACAGCTGCAAAAGTTCGGGCCAGAAAAAAACGTCGTCACGCTCACGGTCTCGAACATTTAACGCTGTAAGGGGCGCTCCGTATTCGCGAAATGCAGCCACTGCAACTCCGTCGTACCTTTGCGGAATATAATTGACGCGTAAATTAAACATTTAGACGTCCAAATACATTTAAACCGCGTTTTAAATACGCGTTGTTGTTCTTTGACACTCTTGTTGAAAACGTTATCTCACTGTGGATGTCAAGGGGAGGCCCCTTAACTTGTAGCTTTGGCCAACAGGCAGGCGGGATGGCACCCCTTGCTGTGGGAGACATTTATCCAGCAGTTCAACGATCACGGCTGACGACGATGGCGAAATGGTCACGTCGACCTCGTGTTAGTGGACCGTGGCTTGTCAAAGCGAAGCGCGCCAGGCTTTCAAAAAGCCAACGCTGACAACAGGACATCACGACCCCCATCCCAGTGACGCTGACTACAACATGTTTACACGCGCCACTAATGTGAAATAAAAACGCAATAAAAACATTATGCCCCCATTCGTGTAATTGCGCCGCGCTTAAACGCAAGTGTGGGTTGTTCGTAAAGAATGCCCTTCAAATTTCGTGTAAAAGCTCGCGTGGAATCCTGTACAGTGCCCATATATTTATGACCCCCCACCCACTTCATTCAATGACAGAGCCATCAGATATACTGTCGCCGCAGATTAATCATATTTATCCTGCGACATAAACGCTGTCTTAAATACATTGGTGCTCACACAGTGGCTATGCGTGGCCATTACTATACAGAATGCCACGCAAGAGCATCGAGTGTGCGTATATCACGCTGCGCTGTGACATTTATTGATAACATCTTACCTATAAATGTTCCCTGGAATATCAGGAGTTACGGCGTTCTTCGCCGCATTACGCGTTGGAGTAATCAATCAAAGTAGATGCGGAATTTAGCTGATGAGTCAGTCAAGCGTGCATTTCGTTTCGTGTTCCATTTGTTGTCTTCGTTAATCGATAGACTGTCCGGAGGAACGTGAGTTTTGATTAAATAAACAAGCTCAGGATGGAGATTGGGCCACAGGACATGAACACGAGACCGTATTTATCACCACAATTATTTCGTGCTCTAGGAAGACGAACGGCACGGTTGTTATTCAGGCGACAATTCATCCCGAATTATTTTCAATTAATACTCTCGATTCGACGGTGGTATTTAGAAGTTTGCCTCTTGCCTGACAGACTCTAAATAATATCATTCTTTGTTTCTTTCGGTTAAGTCACGTCTAAAGATAAAATAATAAATTAAAATAATAGCATATTACGACGTTTCGATTGCAACACGTAATATGCTATTATTTTAATTTATTATTTTATCTTTAGACGTGACTTAACCGAAAGAAACAAAGAATAATTCCTGCAGTCACGAAAGCTCCAAAATTAATAATATCATTGTTTGAGATTTATATTCTTGGTTCTTTCGGTAAAGTCACATAGAAGGGACATAATAAAATAATAAAAATAACTAATAAAATTCTCACGACGTTTCGATTGCAACACAAGCAATCATCATCAGGTGTGAAAACCACAGCAAGAAAACCGCCACTTTGTTTTGCCAGTTGGCGCTTTGTTATATATATTTAAACAAACGTGCAGTAACAGCTACCCGTGTCGCTGTGCTGCTCTCTGCCGCTCGGCACGTAGCCCTGCAGCCTATAACACTTGGTATGCATAGTGGCCGTCCATCCAACCGGGAGCTTTCGGGGTGGTTTGGTTATATGAACTCATCGCCGAGGACAGGACCCAGGGCCATAGCCATGGAGTCAACATTGGGAAGAGACCAAATCTTCCAGGGGTTTTGGGGGTCCCCCCCCCCCCCCACAGAATTTTTGTCAAATTTGAAAAGAATTTCCTGCCTAAAATATGAAAAAATTCACTAACACATAGGATGGACTTTTTATTTATTTTTTACAATACTGTCTAATAGTGTATTGCAGAGGTGTGGACTCGAGTCATGTGACTTGGACTCGAGTCAGACTCGAGTCATGAATTTGATGACTTCAGACTCGACTTGGACTTGCATAACAATGACTTTGTCCCACCTCTGAGGTGTGGACTCGAGTCATGTGACTTGGACTCGAGTCAGACTCGAGTCATGAATTTGATGACTTCAGACTCGATTTGGACTTGCATAACAATGACTTTGTCCCACCTCTGGTGTATTGTATTATATTGCTCTGTTTTTTTATTTTTTACCTTTTCTTGTTTCATTGTATGTAATGGCAGAGATTAGGGATGCATAAAGTACAACCATAACCACAATCATATAAACATAAATCTATTTTATAGCAATATATTGGGGGGGGGGGGGACATTTTGGATGTGTCCCACCAATATTTATTATAATTAATTAATAAATATTAATAAATATTATTATAATTCATAAATATTATCAGGACCTCACAAAGAGGACTTCAAGCCTTAAATTTGGAGCTTTCGTGACTGCATGAATTACTCTTTTGGTTCTTTCGGTAAAGTCACGTATAAAGATAAAATAAATGTAATACTAGCATACGACGTTTCGATTGCAACACAAGCAACCATCATCAGGTATAAATGAAATAGAAACAAAAAATCTAACCAGAAAACTAGCCCCCCATGTAACAACACACTGCGCCATCTAGTGCCCATAGCACACTGCTGTGTGAACTCACTTGCAGCATCCGTATATTTACGCGATCTAACCCAAAATAAACCTGCAATCGTGGATGATATTGGTCGCGCAAGCCGACCTGTTAAACTGAAGACGGCTGCTTGCGTTGTGGCCGAAACGTCGTGAGAATTATTTTATTGTTTTATTTTTTATTATTTTATTATTTCCCTTCTACGTGACTTTACCGAAAAAACCAAGAAGATGGCTTACAGCAATTAGCTCTGCTATGGATGTCGTACCTCCAATTAGCATGGTTGGCTCTGTATGGTGCGAAAACAGGACCCTGCGGGGTGGGCTGGTAGGAATAATACTTAGTACCGGTACAGAGATATCGACCGGGTATAGAGAAGTTAAAGAAAAAATTACTGTATTCTAGTGTAACGTTAATTAAAAGTGTTTGTTTTGACAAGAAACGCTGTGAGATTTAAAGACTCGTAGTCTTTCATTTCCAACACCACCCTCAACACCACCCCTCCCACGGACGGACGGACGGACACATTAATCTATTGGTGGTCTGGTCCACTTCGTTCCTACCAGTATAAGTTCAAATACATAGGTGCATTGCCTTGCAGCAGGGTTATGGGGCCGTCCATAAATGACGTCACGCACCTAGTGGGGGGGGGGGGGGGGTCAGACATTCAGACATTTGTGACGATGGGTGACGAGGGGGGAGTTGAGAAATGTGACGTCACATCAAAATGCGCAACTTTAAATAAATATAAATTTGTAATAATAACACTAATTGTTAAACAACACTCCTACCACATCAGGGTGCAGCGCCACATTAAATACGCGCTACAGTAACAATAGATTAAAGCGATTTGAAGCATGTTTTATTTAAAAAAATGGAAATATGGTTTGGGGGGGGGGCAGAGCTTTGTGACGTCATAAATCAACCAAAAATCGCGTGACGTCATTTATGGACGGCCCCTTAAGCATCAAGTGACCAGTCCCTGCCAGGACGTTCGATAGCTTTACCATATCTGAACGTCCTGGAACATATTGTGCGAAAGGGTTTTGTTAAGGTTAGGCTTTTACATTTCCATTTAGATCCAGATTGAAGGGTTTGCAGGTGCTACGTCACGTAAGCTGTGCGATTAAATAACTCACCCCCGTACCAAGATGGCCGACTGATGACGTAACACCAGTGCTGTAAGATAACTCACCCCCGTACCAAGATGGCCGACTGATGACGTAACACGGCGTGCGATTAAATAACTCACCCCCGTACCAAGATGGCCGACTGATGACGTAACACCAGTGCTGTAAGATAACTCACCCCCGTACCAAGATGGCCGACTAATGACGTAACACGGCGTGCTATTAAATAACTCACTCTCCGTACCAAGATGGCCGACTGATGACGTAACACGGCGTGCAATTAAATAACTCACTCTCCGTAGCAAGATGGCCGACTATGACATAACACCAGTGCTGTAAGATAACTCACTTCCCGTACCAAGATGTCCGAATGATGATGCAATGCAGCAATTCAGTTAAATAACTCGCTCCCCGTACCAATATGGCCTACTGATGCCGTAATTCAGCCGTTGCTATATAATTACGGTCCCTGTACTTTTTGTTTTTTTCGGTAAAGTCACGTAGGTAAAAAAATAAAATAAATTAAAATAAAAACAACTAAATTAAATCACGACGTTTCGGAAGCAACACAAGCCTCCGTCTTCCCTCTACCAAGATGGCCGATTTACGACGTAACCCCAGCCGTGCTATTAAATAACTCGCTACCATACCCAAGATGGCCGACTAAATCACCTTACTAAAGATGGCCGCTCGACGCAGAGCCAATCAACCGTCCCGTCGCCCCATTGGCTGCTCGCGCTTTCACGCATGCGCACAACACGTTGCCTTCATCTCACGTGAGTGTGTGGGGGGGGGAGAGGGTGGTCAACCGCCAATGGCTGGACGCAACATTCCACGGCGCGCTCCCATTGGTCGAGCCAGCGGCACGCGCGCGCCCGGCCCGCCCCCCCGCCGCTTGTAAGCCGCTTCGCCATTGCTCCGAGCGAGAAGACGCACGTGGTCGGCTTTCGCCTGATGCGGCGCAGGATTACCACGACCCACGTGTGCGGCACACTGTAGTAGCAGCAGCGAGCAGCTAGCAGCTAGCGGCACGCGGAGAGCACGCGGCAAGCACGGGTCCTTGCAGCAGCAGCAAGCGGCGCTTAATTAAGAGATAATTAACGTCGTGCAGCCTGAGCGCACGGCATGTCGTGGTTGTTCGGGCTGAATCGGGGCCAGGCGCCACCGCCTGTGCCGTTGGACACGGGAGCTGGACCCGGTGGTGGTGGTGGTGGAGCCGGGTCTGGCGCTTCGGGGTCAGGAGACGAGGCGCGGCCCAAGGACAAATGGAGCAACTTCGATCCCACGGGGCTGGAGCGAGCGGCCAAGGCGGCCCGGGACCTGGACGCCTCCAGTGAGCAGAGAGAGAGAGGGCACCGTTGAGACATGGGACACGTGGGAGCCGTCATTGGGATTTGACATTGAGAATGCCATTGGGAGTTTGAGTTTAGAGATGTTTTTCTTTCATTGTGGGTGAATTTCATCCGAGTTGTCAATACAAAGTGCCTGCTGCTCCCGGTCAGTGATGATGCTATCGTGATTTGGGACTGGTTGTCATTGTAAATGCCTTTTGGAGGTCGCATATAACAAACGCACGGTGAAGCACACGGCAAAGGTTTGGCAGAAGGAAGGAAGCGTTTGCGAGGAGTTGTGACCTCTGTGGTATTTGTCCATGACTGTCTGACCTCTTGACCTTGGTGGGATTTCAGTTTGGAATGGTCTTCAGGGATGTTATTAGATGACCTTTGTGATGAGGCAATAGCCCATTGTGGATTGAGCGATGGCAAAGTAGTTGGCACACTTGCGCTATGAAGCCAAGTTGGATTCCCATTCACAAAGTCTGGAGCAATAATCCTATCACTGACCTGCCATGGGGAGCTGCTCATCCGACAGGATTGACAAAGTGTGTATCCAGTGCATTATTAAGAGCCCATTGAGGCCAAGGAAGGCTCTTCTTCGAGATGATTACAAATGTGGGATCACCATTGAGATTGCGTTATTGGGGATCACACTATTGCTCATAGATATTTGCTTTTAGCAATGGCTTTGGTGGGATTTCATTGGGTTGTGTTTTCCATTCATAATTTGTACCCCTTGATACAAGTGTATTTTAGGGGGGTGGTTACTTAGTTCTGTAATTAGGCTTAGATTCTATGTGGGGATGTATTTAATGGATGCAATTGTAGACTGTACAGTAAGGTTTTGCTTGAATTATATTCCAGCTGTGAAATGTATTTGGAACTCTTTTAGAAGTTGTTACTGTCACTGCATTGGCTTTTAGTATATTCGTTTTCATTGGGCATCGGGTTTTTTTTTTTCAAACTGCGTTGGAAATGCGTGTGGTACAAGTTAATTGTGAATGTTGTCTTTAGGAGTGGGGGATGACGCTAAGATTTCCATTTTGAATAGCAATTTTCATTCGGACGTTTACAGATTGCCGTTGTGAATGAATTATTCAAATTACAGTTTCTTTGAAGTTTTTAATTGAGAACGTGTTTAGGATTGGTTTTGTAAGAAAAAAGCGTTTCTCTTGGCGATGCCTGTCAGTGTTACCATTAGGAATGTAATCCGTATTTTAATTGGGGGTCATTATTCGTGAATCATTCAATTGTTGTTTTGGGGATTTGTATTTTGTCTACAGTACATGTGTATTTGTACAGTCCTCTGGCAATGTGTTGTTGGATGATGGCTTCCCCATACCATATTTCACCACGCTGGTCAGTTGGTGAAGGTGAGGAGAATAGACACGTGGGAGCATAGAAGTGCAGTAAAACAATGGATATTACTGCATATCCTTGTGCAGTCCACCACATGGCCCCTATGACAAAATCACCTGGAATATGCCAAATCTCACCGGTTCTCTTGAGCTCGGAAGAATTGAGACCGACTAGTGCTTGGATGCGTGACCGCCATGCCCAGCAGGTCGTGCAGTAATGTGTTAGGATGTTCACCGAAATTGTCTTTGTGATGTGTCGCTTGGAATGCCTTTTCTGTTTTTCATTAGGAATGTCCAGAACCCACACTTTTCACCAGAGCAGCTCCGTCACTGATTCCGTGGTTGAGCCCCTTTTACAGCCACTCGCATCAGGCAGGGGGGGGGGTGTCAGTGTCGAGGCCGGGTTAATCAAGAGAGGGTGTTGAACATCTGGGCCAGTTGCCGGTTTGAAGTGCCTCACCTCCTCCCGCATTGCACTTGCCGTGGATTTTCTTCACCGTTGACTTGACACGATAGCATAAACACACCACACGAAGCGGTGATTTTTTTTTTTTCTTCAACGCACGCTTTAACCTGCATTTTCAGCTTGGAAATTAATTGTGTCATTCCTCCACCTGCTGCTGTGGTCTATTGGTTATCTCACTGGACTTGCAAACCAGAGGTCACTGGTTTGATCACCCGGCGCAGCAGTTCACGTAGCAATTTGAACGTTTCTTGATTCCCCCCCCCGTCTCTGTCCACCCAGCAATATGCATGGGCACACCACAGTCGATGGGCTGGTTGCGTGTGGTCGGCTAAAGCCGTGGCTACTCTCATCGCTTTCAAGACTTGTGGCCAGCATGGAAGAATAGGCCAAATAGCCTGTCAAGAGCTCCCTCTATTGGATAACTTTCTGCCATCTGTGACTTGAGACGGTGGTTGCAGGATTTCACTGTTACCATTATACACTCCACCTGCAATAACACAACATCGCTGGATCAGCTACTGCAGACATCACTGAGGCATTAACAAGATGAGTGTTGGCACACTGCTTGTGCTTGCAGGGAATTGATGACTAAATGTCCCATCATGAAAACAGGGCCTCTGAGTTGCCCATAACTTTTTAGTTCATGTCTGCCATCTAATCCAATGTTGCAAACAATATAAATTGTCATAATTTGTCAGTATAGCCTATTGGCCATTAGCTCCAGCATGGGTTAGTCATCTGCTATGAAAGATTCAGTGCTTGATGACGATTTCCCAAAGCCCATTGCCATCTCTTGTTCTGTCTTGTCATCTGTACCTTTATTAAGTAAGACCAATGAGACTGAAGTACGTGGGCTTGCACTCGGACTGAAATGACAGGAGGTCTGCGGCTATGTTGTGGGGTCAGTAATTTACTCGGTGAAACAATTCGGAGCAGATGGTGTTCTACTCTTAGGGCAAATGGCCCTAACAGAAATCTACACCTGTATATTTGGAGTTTGCACGTTCACCTCGTGATCGCTTGGATTTCTCTCTGGGTCCTCCGGTTTTCCTTACATAATTAGAAACATGCGTTTAGAGTATTTAGCTACTTTAAAGTTCCACATGATAAGCCACTCAAAAAGAGCCATTGAGCTTCGTGGGCCTTACCTGGTAAAATGTAAAAAAATGCTATATAATTTAATCTAAACCTAAATACAAAGCGTAATTTAATCTTCGTTTGACTCCACCTTTATCTCCACTTGTTGCTGCACGGCCACAATGTGCCGCTGATGCTAACCCAATCCGTGTGTGCAGAACATGCCAAGGAAGCCTTGGATCTGGCGCGGATGCAGGAAAACACGGTGCAGATGGAAAATCAGGTCAAGCTCAAGGTACAGTGCACGTGGAACAATTCCCACCATTCTGTTACTTTTGTTGTCCCATAGACAGTAAAAACTGCTCTTAACATTGCTGATGAGCCTTGGATAGCCAAAAGCCAATCCAGTGTTTGTCTGCTTAAACAAATATTATTTGAAAACATTTGTTGAGAAAAGCCATGGTCTGATAAACCTAATTACTATTTATTTTGAGGGTAAAACGGAGCTTAGTTTATTATTTATTACCCACAGTGAAACTTAGCTGAAGACCGAAATTAATTCATGGCCGATGTCATTGATACCACTCCACACCTATCCTCTCCGCTAGATAGTGTAATTGCGGCACGGTCGATACGCTACCTTAAAGACCTGCCTTAAAACCACCGCCACCACGCCGCGAAAACGACAGCTGACAACATTGAATATTGTATAGTAACATTGAGTATACTTTTTTCCGCTTTGTATGTATGTTCTTCTTTCACACCGTACTTAGCCAACCTGTGCTAATTGGAGGTGCGAGGGAAGGACAACAAACTAAACACAAAAATTTGTTCTAAAGAAATAAGTTTTTGTTAAGTGCATAGCTCCAGTGGTTTCCTAATATCGGAAGGAAGAGCATTCCAGACGGCCACAAAAGCACATCTTAAAGCGCGCGATACAGTGACCGTCTTTGATGACCAGCCAAAAGCCGCTGCGAGGATGACAGGAGTTTGCATGATAGTTTAAGCTCCTTGACGAGATCAGAAAGGTGTTGGAGTTCATTTGTGGCAGGCACTTTGTGTGTAATACAAATGTCGTGTTGTAGTGCGAGTGGTGGTAAGCGGAGGATGAGATTGCACCATTCGTCACGTCTGCGTTTCCGCTGCCTTGAGGTGCATTCGTATGAAGACGGTGGGTGTGCGTGCACGCTCGCTCCCACTCTGTTCCTTCAGGAATACGAGGGAGCCATTGAACAGATGAAGAGCGACCAGATAAGGGTGCAGTCAGAGGAGAAACGCAAAACTCTGATCGAAGAAACCAAGCAAAATCAGGCGGTAAGCAATCCACACACATACTTCAGCGTTGTGCACTTGTGTAACTTAGCTGCTTACCGGTGTATCGATAGTTAACTGCTAATGTGCCATTGTATTGAGGGACTACAGCTGAATGGTGTTATCTTGGTGTGGTCTGGGACTGTTTTGTTGTTTTTTTCTGCCTTACCCAAGATTGATAAATCAGACTTATATAAAAATATGCAAAAAATTACTTATTTACATATATTGACGTATTCTTGGATCTTTCGGTAAAGTCACGTAGAAGGGAAATAATAAAAAGAAAACATAATAAAATTCTCACGACATTTCGGCCACAACACAAGCAGCCGTCGGCAGTCACGAAAGCTTTAAATCGAAATATATTGACTTGCTTACTTTTTTCTCTATTTTGCACTCCTATCGTTTTTGTTTTTATCGTTTGCTGTTGTAACTTGCTGACCTGCCCATATTGGACATCTGTGAAAAAGAGCTTCATAGCTCATCGGATTCCTCCTCCTGTCTAAATAAAGAGTCCTAATCTTTAACATTACTATATTCCTTTTTTTCGTTGTGGCCTTTTCACAACCGTGACTGCAGATTCGCACCAAAGCGTCCACCGTCTCAAATTCGCTTCGATTTTTTCTCTTGAGTAGCAAAGTTCCAACAAGTGCGTCATTACCGAACACTGGTTTTAAGACCACAGCTAAGCAAGTCTCGTCAACTCGTTTAAGAGCTTGCAGGTCATTCGTAAAAATGAAAGTGAAAAAAAATGTAAGCGCATAGTCTCCTTTGCTTTCACACAATCGAATGGAATTTATATTTACACAGGGTGCCTTCACTCAAGGAGCTTGACGCAGCTTTACAAAACGGTGGTCGAATGGAATGATTTAGATGTCAGGGACGTACAAAAGAGTGGGGAGGTAGGAGTGTTCATAGTCTATTGTTAAAATGTTCTGTCGAATTGCTTGTGATTACAGAGAGCTCAGTACCAGGATCAGCTGGCCCGGCGGAGGTACGAGGACCAGCTGAAACAACAGGTAACGCTTATCGATTCAAGTGTCGTGAGTCGTCATCAGCAACAGCAGCAGCCATGATATATCCACTGCTGGATGAATGCCTCCCCAAGCCATCACCATCCCTCCCTCCTCATCATGCCATGTAACATTGCATCGAGCTGCAAGCCGATTTCGCTGCTTCATGCCGGCTGTGAAACATCCTCTTGGGCTTATTCAATCCTTGGACTTCCATTCCATATTGGTCTCTACCTACCACCAGCCATAACCTGCAACGCATCCTGCCCCATCCAGCTAGCCTGTATTTATCACTCAATGTCGCATCTCCACGTTGAGTTTGCTCTCCGATCCATGTTGTTCCTCTTAGCATGCTTCTTTGTGCACTTTTCAACTTTTGTTCCATTTGTCTACCCGAATGACATAGCGGGTGGTAAAATGCACTGTTTGAAAACCTTATTCTGTAGACGCTTGAATGGTGCGTCCCTTCTCATTTTGCCGAAATAAAGTTTGATCTTTGCTTTTTTTGTGCTTGCAGCAACTCATGAATGAGGAGAATTTAAGAAGACAGGAGGACTCTGTGCAAAAACAGGAGTCCATGCGGAAAGGTGATGCTGCCCCAGTGCGGTGGTTTTTACTGGGGACACGGGGTCCATGTTCTCAGCACCGCCAGTCTGTTAAAACACTGCGCCCTGAGACGCATTGCTCCAGGCTGTTGCGAACGAGAACACGAGTTTTCATTGTCGGCAACGCGGCCTACGCGTTCACGATCCGGTCTCGCTTGTCTGTTCTTGTGCAGCTGGCAACAACATGATTGTACTTGCAGAGTGGTGATGCGAATTATATTAACTTGCACGGGTTTAATAAAACGCTCGACTAAAAATGTGTAGAGTTATGAGATTTCATTAACTATACATTTTTCAAATGTTATTTTTCACGTTGAGCGTTTCACGTCCCGCCGTGCGTGGGTCCCACTCGTGGCCACAAGAGGGCAGTGGTGAGACGTCGAGTGATTGACGCGTGCACGTGCTAATGTTACAGACTTGCTGAAATCAATTGAGAGGCCTCATGGCAGAGAACAGTTACTAATTGGCCGTGCCACGTGGTGGCAGGTTTAATGAAACATTGATATTTTCGTGCTCTAGCCCAACAAAAAAATGTTCTCATGGATAACAGTTGGGATGCAAAATTACCGCAACCATGGCAGTGCTTACAAAACGAATCGGTTCCAGCGCGATTTTAATTAAGAGGCCTTTTCAAGTCTTCCTGTTTCTGCTCTTTGTCGTGACTAATATTGGTTCGCGAAAGGCCCCGCGTGTTAAACTGCCCGAGCTGTGTCCCCCCCCACCCTCGCTTGCCCGCCGTCTTCTGCGAGCAGCCACGATCGAGCACGAGATGGAGCTGCGGCACAAGAACGAGATGCTGCGCATCGAGGCGGAGGCGCGGGCGCGCGGCAAGGTGGAGCGAGAGAACGCCGACCTCATCCGCGAGCAGATCCGCCTGAAGGCAGCGGAGCACCGGCAAACCGTGCTCGACTCCATCAAGTAACGTGACGCACATCTATTATGAAGATTGGGCATTCACAGCAGAGCTGTCTTCGCAGGCATCTTATGTTTTACAATGGGCCTATTGGAGTTGCTACAGTCATACAATGCAAGATAATGTGGATTCATATTGCACGTGAATGCGATTGTATCGCAAGATGCTGTACCACAGCAAACTCAAAGTTCACAATGACGGGTTTTTTGCGTTCAGTCATTGGTGACTGGGCTGAGCCAATCGACTCGTGGCACATGACAAACCTGGTTGAGTTATTCACGGGCGGCTGAGGTTCAGCTTTAAACCCAACATCTGCCCGGACTCAGCGCGCTGACCTCCAAGCCACCCAAATACAACAACAATGATCATTTTCTACATAATTTCTAAATGTACATCTAGCAATCGCATGCAAACCAGGCAAACAAGGCAAGGTCATGGAAGTTTAAGTGAGGGATTGTGATGCTAGCACTGCAGGAAATGGCCTTACTTGCCAGATAACGTGGTGGTGAGATGTTAACTACCTCGCCTAGTATGCAGGATGTCGTGGGTTCAATCCAGAGGTCGCAAACGGGTTTTGATTCCTTACCCGTTCCCGGCCGCACCAGGGTCGCAAACGGGTACCCGTACCCGTACCCGGCCGGGTACGGATAGCCGTTCCCTACCTGTACCCGTACCCTACCCGAAATGAGTGACAAACGGTTACTCACCAGTGACTCACGGCCTACCCGTACCCGTACCCGGCCGCACCAGGGTCGCACACGGCTACCCGTACCCGGCCGGGTAGCCGGGTATCGGGTAGGGTACGGGTATCGGGTACCCGGTTGCGACCTCTGGTTCAATCCCAACGCTGATGCCTGTTTATTTGGAGTTTGCATGTTTTCCCTGTGGTCCCCTGGTTTTTCCCGCCACATTTAGAATCAACATGTGTTTAGATAATTTGGCTGCTATAAATTTCCACATGATAAGCCACTTCATTGAGCTAACATTTGTGGCCAGGTCGCTTCTGAATAAGAACTAAACGGCTCAGTAGGCCGTACCTGATGAAATAAAAAATAGTTTCATGGTGTTTTTTATTAAGTTGAAATTACCTACCACCGTCTCCCAACACGTAGGTGTGGTTTTATCAGCAAGAGACTTAATTGGCCCCACTAATTCTGTATGAATGTAATGGGCATTCCAAATGTTTTTTGCAAGGTATTTTGGTAAAGATACCTACAAAGAGTTAGAGTTATTTGAAGCGCAGTAACAACGACAATACCTTGCACCGAGTCTCAAGACCGATATTTCTGGACGCACTGCGAGAGATGTAAAAAAAAAGTCGCGAAACCGACTCGGCGAGCGAGCCCTTTGCCGCGTGTCCACTCTCCCCCCCCCACCGTGCGCAGGACGGCTGGCGCGGTGTTCGGCGAGGGCTTCCGAGCGTTCGTGTCCGACTGGGACAAGGTGACGGCGGCCGCCGCGGGGCTCACGCTGCTCGCGGTCGGCGTGTACACGGCGCGCAACGCGACCGGCGTGGCGGCGCGCTACGTGGAGGCGCGCCTCGGCAAGCCCTCGCTCGTGCGCGACACCTCCCGCCTCACGCTGCTCGAGGCCGTCAAGCATCCCATCAAGGTGAACCCTCGTCCGTTCGTTGCGTTCCTTCTTCCGTTTCCGTTAGATTGTTCCGCTCGTTGATCAATCTGTTGATTTGTTCGTTAATTAGTTAGTATTTTTTCGGTCAAAGTCAACGTTTGTCACCTTTGGAATACTTTCTAGTTGTCCCACTTGTCTGTCTCTAACTGTGGGGTCATGATAACGCCCACTAAAGGTGATTCGATACTAGCAACATGTTCGTGTCAAGACGTGTTGCTGTGTTGGACACTCCTTCGGAGAAAAACCCTGATAAATGTATCGCAGAGTGGCGCACGCCATGTGCGCTCCTCGCTTACCCATCTCGTAACTGTGACGTCTTCTTTCAACGATGCAATTACTTCTCGTGGCGTGGCCCGCACTAGCCAGCGGTGAAGTATGTTCAAACCACTAACATGACTGGCACAGTGTAAGGAGGCCTCTATCCAGCACTGGATTGACACATGGGCGGGGGGGGGGGGCTGTATGTTATCCTTACCATTATTATTGGTCGCGAAAGCCTACGTCATACACTGAGAGAAGAGAGAGCTCGCCACAAAAATGCATAGTGCCATTCATTTTAGGTCACACAGTCGTTTGGGTGGGTGTACATTGGAAGTCTGCATTAACTTGGTAAAGGTGTGAATTTCTTTGCACTAATATCCCACAATCGCGCATGCTTGAAAGGTTAAAATGCCATGGAAAAAAAGTAACACAATGTTCAATGTGAATACGTTTTTAAGAATGAGGTCTATTTTTACCACCAATACGAATGTTGTGAGAGGGTCAGGTTTAGTTTGATGTGCACGATAAAATTTATTGTAAGCATGCATTTGGCTCGCCTAACCCATGCACAGATATATTTAACAATGCAGTAGATTTTTTTAAATTGGCTCCTATTGAATAAAAACATAAATCGTTGACGTGCCTATTTTAAAAGCAATGTAAACATTTGACACTTTGCTCCCTGGCCATTTGATGAATTGTCACAAGTCGGAGACTCCTTTTGCTTGCTACAGTTTTTAACCGTAGTGGCAAATGTATCGCCTCTAGTGGCTGCAGGTGTCGTGTGTGAACCCATCGCTGTTTGTACAGAATTTGCCAAATGGTTGTTTATCGCATACATGTGCAACAGTTCAGTCTAGTGTATCCCGCGGTGATTTTGTGTTCAGTTGTGTTGTCGGTGCTTGCGTCGCAGGTGGGAAAACGCTTCACGAGCAAGCCGTTGGATGCGCTGGAGGGAGTGGTGCTGAGCGTAAGTTTGTACTCGCCCCCAGAGTTTTAACAACTGCCTGGGCCTCGCTCCCATAACAGTCGTGCGGCCACGTACCCAAGCCGCACTCAACAATACCAGCATTTCTCTCTCGTATCTCTTAAACAACTGTACATCTAAATCAGCTTAAGCCTCCTGTAAATCACGTGACTTCTGCGTGGTCGCCCCCACTCTGAATCCTGCCCCTCCCCCCCCGTGAAAACAGACGCTGCTACCTCCGTGCAGCTCACTTCTCTCTCCCTCTCTTCCCTCTCGTCCATTGCCCTCTCATCCTCGGCATCTTGGCCAAGTGATTGCTCCTCCCCTTCTTGTCTGGTTTTGCCTCTTCCTGCTCCTCATCTTGAGCCCTGTCTTGAGGACTTCCGTCCCGACAATCCTTCCCTTCCTCTCCCGTTCCATTACATTTTTCCCGACACTGTGTCTTTGTCTCTACCCCCCTTGCCATGGTGTACCATGGGTGAAAGTGTTTATCCAAGGTAATGCATCGCCACTCAGGACCTGTGTGTTACCCTCTAGGGGTGTAACGATTCACCACTTCTCCCATGGTCAGAGCAAGTGTACAAGCATTGAACAAGCAAATTATTATTCGCTCGCCGATGCAGGAAGTCAGAATAAAGTCCAGGAAATCATAAATGACTTTGGTTGTGAGAATTGTCCATCAGCCTACAGCGCGAGCTGAAATAATAACAACTGGCACGTTATGCATGTACATTGAACTTCTTTCGCAATGTACATAGCCAACCAGGCTAATCGAAGATGCAGGACAGCAAACTAAACACAAAAAGCAGTTCTTAAGAAATGAGTTTTCATTCTAGATTTGAAGTCTTGACTTAAAGCTTTCGTGACTGCAGGAATTCATTTTCTTTGGGTCTTTCGGTAAAGGTTCAAAGAAAATAACAAAAAATTACGACGTTTCGATCGCAACACAAGCGTTCGTCATCAACGTCATGGTTTTTGTGTTATTTTCTTTGAATCTATCTATGTGACTTTACCAAAAGACCCAAAGAATGTGACAGTTTAACTTGTTTGTCAGGTGGTGGAGGGTTCTTTCGACTGAATTTCGGCCAGATCGTTACGTGGCCTAACCCAAAAAAATCAGCTAGAAAACATATTTGAGCTCCCTTATTCCTGAGCTGGCTTGGATTGGCCTCGTGGCTCGTTGAGATTTGATTGGAAAATGCCGTGGGAGATTCCGCACGGAGAGTGCGCTATAAAAACCTGCTTGTTTATCTGCAGCCCAGGCTGGAGGAGCGAGTGCGAGACATCGCCATCGCCACACGGAACACCCGCTCCAACCGGGGCCTCTACCGCAACATCCTTATGTACGGGCCTCCCGGCACGGGCAAGACCCTCTTCGCAAAGGTACAGTGAGGAGCAGGCAGATGCACGATAACCTTCTTGTCTGCCTGGTTCTGTCTGCATGATCGGTCGGTTGTTTACGAATGTGACTGTGTAATCAGAACCGTTGACGGACACCAGAGGGCGTGGCAACACTTTTAAGTGTCTCCCGCTCAAAAGAATACAGTAAAACCTTGGATTGCGAGTAACTTGGTCTACGAGTGTTTTGCAAGACGAGCAAAAATTTTTAAATAAATATTAATTTGATAAACGAGCGAGGTCTTGCAATACGAGTAGTACGTATACGCCTTGTCTGCCGAGCGTCACGTGATCACAACTGATATACGAGTGCTTTGATATACGAGTGCTTTGGATTACAAACACGTTTCCGGAACGAATTATGCTCGCAATCCAAGGTTTTACTGTAGCCGGGCATAGTTCGATCTCCGTTGGTGATTCTGGACTTTTTCTGGAAATTCCACATTTCCTTGCTGGGGTCCCAGTCTTCTCACAGAATTGCCACTTCACTTCTCGCAAAGTGGTACTTGCTTTTATCAACCTCAGAAAGATGATTGGTTGAGTTGACTCCCTCCTCCCCCCAGCCGGGATTTGAATTTGCAGCCTTCCGGTTTTGATTATGCACCATACGTATGTATTGTATGTATGTTGAACTTCTTTCACACCGTACGTAAACCAACCGTGCTAATCGGAAGTGTGGGGGAAGGACAACAAGCTAAACACACAAAGCAGTTCAAAAGAAATGAGTTTTAGATTTAGAAATGCATACCTCTTGCATAGTACCCTATAACCACTACGTATCCTTTTCGATTTAAAGCTTTCGTGACTGCAGGGATTCATCTTCTTGGTTCTTTCGGTAAAGTCACGTAGAAGGAAAATAATAAAAATACAACATAATAAAATAATATATTTAACATTATAAAAATATGTTTTATTTTTATTATTTTATTATTTCCCTTCTACGTGACTTTACCGAAAGAACCAAGAAGACACTACGTATCCTCTCTGAATATACTGTATATACACAAGAAACCAAAACCGCTTATTTTACTGCATATATTTCAATGCATGTCTGTTGCACCAATTGCTGTATCGTCAAAAATGCCACCAGACAGCCTGTCAAACCTTGTTATAACGATTGCTACTGGCATACATTGGTATGCGAAGGCCCATTAGTTTATCAACTGCTTTCTTTGCAGCCTTTAACCAAATCCCTTTTCTCGTGCAATTCTTATCCTTTAAACACTGATGTGGCACTTCATTTTCCCGCACTTTATTTCGCCTGAAAAATTGCAACCAGGCTGCTATGGTGTATCCAGGTCCCCCATCGAAAATGTGTGTTTAGTCTCCAGCAGGCGTTCACCTGTGCGAAAACAAATACATGAACAAACAAACGTCGGTACCGTTTGCGGTAACATTGGCAACGCTCCCAGCGCGCACACTTTCGCTCACTCTGTAAGCTCTTGCCGTGGGTGGCCCCTTTGTCCCGGCGCAGAAACTTGCAGTGCATTCTGGGATGGACTACGCCATCATGACGGGCGGGGACGTGGCGCCCATGGGCCGCGACGGCGTCACCGCCATGCACAAGGTGTTCGACTGGGCCTCGACCAGCAAGCGTGGGTCAGTGCCCCTCGTCCCCAACCACGAGCCACTGATTTGGCACATGCCTCTTATACTGGTAGGAACCTCCTGGTTACACCAGCCCACAGGGGATTATTGTGTCCGTCACCCCGTGGTGCCCTTATAAAACTCAAAGTTTAACCTACTCACGCCGGCTTGTGCCCGCCTTCACAGTCGGGCATATTTGCAGAATACACCACGCCGCCGTTGACCCTGGCCATTGACCGAGCAACCCAACGTTCCTACCAGCTCCCTCCGCAGGAATGTGTTTTTATTGGAGCGGTTTTTTTCGGTTTTCTCAACGGGTTGGGCTATCGACATCGCTCAAGCTGCGTTTTTTTTTCCCTTGGTAATGTTTAGCGAAAAGGTCACTGAAGTAAGTGGACGGCGGTGACCTCCATCTGGTGTTGAGAGGAATTCGTGTCAGCGCATAATGATAATGTTCCTACCACCCCCACTGAGGTACTGCCCTTTCCAAGATTCTATGGACTTTATTTAGATTCACGATTTTCGTGACCACCGTCACAAAGACGTACCTTTTCAGAATCGAGGCGTAAGATATAAAGTCCATTTGGAGATTTCGCAGACCAGCCTGTGTCAAGGGAATGGCTGTAGAAGGGCTATTTAACAAATAAATTCTCATAAAATCTGTCAGGTGGCTCTTTTATGCTTAATACAGTCGGGAGGTCACACTTTCCCATGCTATTTTCATCGAATGACGGTCAACCCAATATATTTACCTATATTTTTTGTAATTCCTAACCGCTATAATTAACAGCGTAGGGTTCCATTGCTTATCTCCATTTCTGGCCCCAATCCAGTGGTGCAAATTCAACATTTTAATAGCAAGGGATCACTCCTTCCATTGGACAACCATTGTTGTCAGTTTATTGGCCCAGGATGAGATGATTTCGATCATGTTGGCCCTTGACCGAGATTTAAAACCTCAATCACCTAATGGTAAGTCGAGTGTTTCATTTCTCGTTAAGGGTACCGCCTGGCCAAGCATATACGAGCCCTCATGGGCCGCTGTTCACATTGCGGTGATCTGGGTCAGTGGTTCCCAACCTGTGCCCCGCGGGCCCCTGCTGGTCTCACGAGGCTACTACTACAAGGGGGGTGGTTCCACGTAAAAAGTAAAAAAAATCCTCGCCAAGGAAATGTACAATTGCAAATCACTCGTAGCGTGTGGTGGTCCGCGCAATGTTTGGAGGTTGTAAAGGGGTTCCGCGCACTCGCAAAGGTTGGGAACTGCTGCTCTGGATGAGCGCGTGAGCTCGTGTTGTACCCGCGTGGCAATTTTTGCACCCTTGCCCTGTGTGCCGCGCAGGCTTTTGCTGTTTGTTGACGAAGCGGATGCCTTCCTGAGAAAGAGATCCACGGTACGTGTTTTGTATGTGCGTGTGTAGTTGCGGGAATCGAACCCAAGTTCCGTTCCTGCTCACGGCCAACACCAGTGACGATTATCTGAACCGATCCGGAGCCGCCCCCTAGGTCGACTCAGCCTCAAATGAGTTCCTGGTGCGGTGTGTGAACATCACCACTGGAGAGACAAAGGCGGCCAGGCGTGGTGCTAGCCACCCACCCCCTTGTGTGCTGTGCCGGCCTTCATAGGTGCTTGCTAACAGCACTTTCCCCAACAGTCTGTGAAGGCTATACATGGGGGATCTTTGTCTTTATAGTTGTGTCACAGGTGGGGAGCAGTAGTACAGTTGTTAGCGTACTGCGCTAGGAACCCAGCAACCCAAGTTCGATTCCCGCTCGTGGCCAACACCGGTGACAATTATTGAACTGGTCCCGGATCTTCTCTAGGTCAACTCGGCCTCAAATAAGTGCCTGGTGTGACGTATAAACATCGCCATTACTGAGATGAAGACGGCCAGGCAAGCTGCTGGCCACCCACTCCCGCTTGTACTGTGCCAGCCTTCATGGGTACTCGCTAACAGCACTTGCCCCAAAAGTCCCATGGTGTATAAACATTTCTTAGCCGCCACACCATCTCTCCAGCCTCTCTCAGTGGCCCTACATAGAAGGGGCCATTGCCCAAAACTTCGCCTATGTAAAGGCACGTCACCTATTTTAAGGCCGCAGTGTTATTGACGAATGTGAGTTTTTTGTTGTTTGTGTTTGGTCGCCACTGCCAACGAAATGTCATCAGACGGTGTGTTTTATAATTAGGCTCATTAAGATCACAACATGAAGAACAAGTGACCTTTCGCTGTGAAGTTTACAGTAAAACCACAGTAGCTTAATATGCAAGAGGTTTGGCCCTGTTACGTGATTGCGTGATGGCTCAAATCACACATGTAAAAAAAAATCTGTAAAATACAAAAATAAAATTTGTACCCGTAGTTTTTTTTCCAGGCCTGGGTTTAAACCCTGCTAGGTCAAACTGGAAGATTAACCTAATTTGAAAAACTTATGCATCCGAATTAATCTTGCACACGTAATTAACTCATATAAATGTCATTGTAAATGTATAGGTGTACATTTAAATTCCGGGTATACGGAATGGCATTGTTTATTATTTGGCCAAATATGGAATAGCTATTTAGTTATTCGGCCGAATTCAAAGTCAAATAGTAAATTTAAATGTATTGTTTTTGCAAGTGAACTGGCAAATCGCCATTTGATGACTTTGACTGACAGGTTTGTGTGTGTGGTCCCAGCTTCACAGCCTTGCCCCGTGTCCGCTCACACCTCTCTCTCGCCAAATGGAACTGCCTTGTCTCACGCACTGCCCAGTGGTCTCAACTCGCTGCCCTTTCTCTCACCCCCTCTCGCTACCCTCTCACGGACTCAACTTTCCGCCCTTCCGATTCCTTCCCAAAACGCTGGCTTCTCAGAAGCGCGCCACCACGACCACGCGGCCACGGTAGCCATCGTTTGGGCCGTGCGATGGTTTGCGTGTGAAGGATTAACGGGTGCCGTTTGTCCCCTTTGTTTTAAAGGAAAGGATAAGCGAAGATCTCCGTGCGACTTTGAACGCGTTCCTGTATCGGACAGGAGAACAGAGCAACAAGTGAGTGCGTCGCTACCACATTGACCGGATTTGCGCGAACCATCTGATCACACTATGACACCTCCTTTACCAGTGGCAAAATATAGTAGTAGGTTTATACCCTTTCAACTGGTACAACAAAAACTGACACCGTCATCTGGTCCAACACCAATGGAGACTAGGCTCTAAGAAAAGCTGTCTCGGGTGTGGACCAATCAACTTCAAGGACAGTGCATATCATTATCATCATTAGAGTTGTTTCTTTTTATTTGCATTTTGACTGCTTGTGTTGTGGTTATTGCAAACATGATGCCTTGTATAAAGGTGTCAGTTTTTGTACCAGTTGAAAGGGTAAAAACCTATTACAACATCTGATCACAGTTGCTGGGCACAGCCTTGAAATGCCAAGTGAGCAGCAACAAACAGCACTGTTAAATACTAACAGATGGGAGTTGATACTTTGATAACTGGCTCATCAGCTGGTTTATTGGCGAACTGACCATTATTGGATTGACTCGCCGCTTGGCCGTCTTTGTCATCTCGAGGAATACTTTGAGGTCTCTGGTGTGTTTTCGCATTTCCTCGACTGGGAAATGCTATGTTACGTGTCATTTTAAATGCGCTGGTAAATGCCACTGGGCGCAAACTAATGTACGAAGTAGAATAGCCCCCGGGGGGGCTGCCGTGGCCGGGGCACATCACTCCCAGTTGAAAGGTCACGTTGAAATCCCAGTCGGGGCTCAGCATATCTTCTCACTTGTAACAAGCCGCCAGTGGTCATCAATTTATTTTTATGTAATTCTCGTCCAGGCCCCTTGGTGTAAAGTGCAGTCTCCGACTCGTATGATCTTTGTTGATGCAAATTATGCATACTGGTCTCTTGAGTTCTCACCAGGTTAACCAAAGTAAACTTGAAACATAAATATGAAATTTGTTCAAATGAGCCAAATGCACCTAGGGCAATGTTCGCCTGGTGTTATAAAATGTTAAACAGCTGTTTTAAGAACATTATGCATGCACTTCTGCAAAAGGAGGACATTGGTTCGATGCTATATTTGAAGTTTTCGTGATTGCAAGGTAAAGTCACGTAGGTGAATCCCTCCCCGTAGAGGTCGTTCATTATAGATTTTAAGTTTTCGTGCAGTTGGCGCTGAGTGCGCTTGGCCTGGTCTGTCACGTGACGTCACGCCAGAAAGCCCCCCGACACTTCACGTGGCCTGAAAGTACACCTAGCCTGGCACGGGCGCCACAGTGAATGAAGTCGCAAGAGGCGAGCAGCACAATATCGGCGTACGCCGCAAAGCCACTACAAGCCATCGCACAGGCGGTCAGCGTCGCGCGTCCGTGTTGCACGTCGTCCCCCAGGTTCATGCTGGTGCTGGCCAGCAACCAGCCCGAGCAGTTCGACTGGGCCATCAACGACCGCATCGACGAGATCGTCAACTTCGCCCTCCCCGCGCTGGAGGAGAGGGAGCGCCTCGTGCGGCTCTACTTTGACCGCTACGTGCTGGAGCCGGCGACGCAGGGCAAACAGTCAGTCGCGCATCAACGCTGCTCTCGGCGCCGTTTCCTCGATGGGGAGATTTCTCGCATGAGCCAGGGGAGGGGAGCCCACAATAGGGCCATTCATTGTCCCTGTAACCAGGATAGGGCCATTCATTGTACGTAACAATATTCTCCCTCGCGATGCAATGAATTGTTTTGACCTAGGGTCGTGATTCAATTCGATAATCGGTTATTTTAGTTTAGCATTGTGGTGAATGCAAGTGCCTGTAATGGCTGCAGGGGTCACGTAAATACATTGCAACATATGTGAATTGTAATCAAGTGTAAAGTTGCGGTTTAGGTGAACCTATAGGATACGCTGCAATTAAATTAAGCATTTCAAGGACACTCGACTGTCACACGTTTAGCATTTATTGCCCTTTCCCCGCACATCCGATTAGCATGGTTGGCTAAGTACTGTGCGAAAGAAGTTCAACATCTATACATGCATACGTGTGTGTGCGCAGCAGGAGGTCAGCCCCGTGACCTCCTGCCAAATCGCCTTGGACACTTTCACCTTCCTTCAAAGTGCTCCCCCTGGTGCTTGGGGCTAGGGCGTTATGTCACCTATTGCCGAGTGGCGAACGCTCGCCGTTGCTGTGGTTGCGTCCGTGTCCGTTGCCCTGCCGCTGCGTAGGAGGCTCAAGCTGGCGCAGTTCGACTACGGCAAGAAGTGCTCGGAGATCGCCAAGGTGGCCGAGGGCATGTCCGGCCGCGAGATCTCCAAGCTGGGAGTGGCGTGGCAGGTGAGCGCTCGGGCTGTCGACACCACGGGGTTTAGTGGCGTGGGACTGATGTGGTGACCCAGGCTAACTCGACGGAGCTACATTCGTGAGGCTGACAACCCACGTCCGAATAATGTTGGGAAAAAATCATACATATGCACGGGATTGTGACTCTTTCCACGAGCACCTATCTTTGATAATTATGAGCACGAAAGCCAGCAAAATGCATCTGCACATGCATGTAGTCCTTGTTGATCTGCTTGGGGAATGTGGAATTGAACCCAGAGTGCTGTGATTGTGGTTCACAGTACCAATCACTATACCACCGCTCCATGCATGAACACTTGCATGCATACGGATATCTGGCGGGGTGACTCCAGCAGAGAGCCCATCTCAAATACTCAAGGTTGTGGGCTCAAATTCGCATCACGGTTCGACTTGGCCTCTCTCAATAAACCCTCCCGAGTCTAAAGAATGAGCACCACATAGCCGGACATCAACATTGTTTGTCCTCTTATCAAGACAAGGTTTGTGTTACACAACAGAAGAATTTCCACCACTAGCTGAGGATCACTCAGGGGGGAGGGAACACTGATAAGAATGGTGGGTTGGGCACATTTGGACTCTGTTGCTTGACGGGGAAAAAAATGTACTTCTAGATTTGAAGCTTTCGTGACTGCAAGGATTCGTACTCTTAGGTTTTTTCAGTAAAGTCACGTAGATAAAAAAGAAAATTAAAAGTTAATAAAGGTAATAATGGAAATAAAATAATAAATCGCGACGTTTCGGAGGCAACACAAGTCTCCGTCATCAGGTGGGACCATCGCAGCTAAAATTACCTACGTGACTTCACCGAAAAAACCTAAGAGTATAAAAAAATTGAACGTCGTGAACTCCTGGCGCGGTGCATTTCTCAGGCGGCAGCCTATGCCTCGGAGGACGGCATCCTCACGGAGGCCATGGTGGACTCGCGCGTGAGCGAGGCCATGCGGCAGCATCGCCAGAAGATGGAGTGGCTGCGGGCGGAGCGTGCGGGCGCTGGGGCGACCCAGGCGGCAGGGCCCGAGGAGGTCAGCGACAAGAGTCCCAAGGCCAGCGCCCAGAGTCTGTTCCCCAACGGAGGCGAGAAAACGTCGAGCTGAGTAGCTTCAGCTCGGTGGGAGGGGGAACGAGACTGGGGCCACGGTTCGTTGGTTTGAAAAATCGGTGGAACGCCGGCAAAACCAAAAAAACCTTTGGCCTACGTTGCAGAGCGAACGTGGAATTTAAGAGGGGAAAGAAAACTCAACAAGGTTTTAGACAAAGCTTGAGGCGAGGTAGCCCTGTAAATTGAGTTGCCTTTATGATATTGGTAATCCGATCTAGCAACGTGACATTTTACAACAACTTGAGCGAGAGTATGCGCGCGCGTATAACGACGGTGCCTCAACGTAGTTTCACGTGTGTGGATGGGTCAATGTTCATGGAACTAGCGAGTGATTCTTTTTTTTTTTAGAGTTATCGTCTCATTCTGCGAATTAACGGATAATAATTGAAGAAATGTATAATGAGCACTAAATGGTTAGTGCCACGTAATTCACTTTTTTCCACTTATTTAATTTGATTGCGTGCACAGTCAGTCCCTGTACCCCGCTTTAAGGTTCTGATTTTGGCGTGCGCGCGAGAGCCGTATCCACGCAGCCTTCACGAGAGCGCCAGCGCGTTTTGTGCCTGCTAACGTGTTTACCTCGAGGCCACCGTTCTGGACGCGCCAATATTTGGCGCTCGCGCGTATCTTTCACCGCATGCATGTGCGCCGAACTTCTTTCGCGCACCGTACGTAGCGCAACCGTGCTCATTGGAGGTGCGGGGGATGGACGGCAAACTAAACACAAGCAGTTGTAAAGAAATTAGTTTTCAATCTAGACGATGTCAAAGTACATGGCTCCAGTGACTTCCGAATATCGGAAGGAAGAGCGTTTTACATACAGGGGGCAGGAATCGAGCTCTGATCACATGTCTCGCATTGCCAGACGCGGTGATTAAAATTAAATTGCCAAACTATTTTTGTTCCAGTACCTTGTCATTACGATCGGTGAAATAAATTAAGTCTGCAGTACCGCGAAAACGTGTTCTTTTATGTTTGTTGCAAACAAAACAGTGTTTGTTGTTGCCCGCTGAAAACGATAGCTGACTGCGTACTTTAATGATGAAGTATGCTCTAGGAAGATTAGTAAATACATGTGTAAATTGCATTGCTAATTAGAATTTACACCAAACTGCCTGGAAATGTTAAGTGTTCATGCTAAATGGGACCAAGGGGCAAGTGGTAACCCTTGTATTGATTGAAATATTTAGAAGTAGATGCATTCACTGTTGGAATTGTTCCGGGTGGGAGGAGGTGACTTGTAACTGGGCTGGGAAAAGGGATCGTGTTCATGTGTGCACCAACGGTTTGCCGTGAATCAACGTGTAGGTTTGTGATGCGCGTCACTTAACCGCCAATGGTGAATTAACTTGTGCACAGCCTAAATCTTCCATTCTACTCTGTACAGAGCATCGTGAGCAAGCAGGTCCATGCTGTTTTAATAATAAAAAAGGTCTTTTAATGAAAATCGCACTGGAATTGATTCATTTGCAAGCGCTGCTATGGTTGTGGTAACTTTGCATGCCAACTCTCATCTTGTTTTTGGTGGTGCACAGTTTACTGTATATTTGAATTACCAAGCTTTAAATGTTGACTTAAAGCTTTCGTGACTGCAGGAATTCATGTTCTTGGGTCTTTTGGTAAAGTCACGTAGATAGGTTCAAAGAAAATTTTAAAAAATAACAAAAAACTACGATGTTTCGACCGCAACACAAGCGGCCATTTTCAGAAAAGGGAAGTAAGCTTCCAAGGCAAACTGCTTATAAGGGGTTTGAAATGGGCGTAGCCCAAATGTCAGCAGCCAATGATAATGTAAGTGGTGGGCAGCCAACTTGACTGTTGGTTTTCCACCAATCAAAGGGCTGCCAGGTGAAAATTAGCATGTTAAAGAGAGATTAGCATGTTAATGGGAGATCACAGAGCCGCAACCGAGGGGTCGGTGCGCGAAGTGGCTGTGTTTGGTGTGAACCGTGTGAAAGTGCAAGTTTGAAATGGGCGTAAAGCACAACTAACATCGGAAAGTGGTAGGATGGGAACATCATAGCCAATTATGACTTAAACTGGTTGATAACGTCCTTCCAATGAGTGATCAGTTTGTACCCATCTCGGTTAAAATTGTCTGTGTCTATATATGGATGACTTCATGAACGAATCTTTGTTTATAGCCAATGGGCTTGCAAAGTACTTTCGTCTTTGAGAAAACAATGATCAGCCACGGCCGAGGTATTGGTCCTACCGTGTTTCAGATCTGCCTTATGTTCACGAACATGGTCCGAGACATATCGCTTAGTTTCCCCAATGTGACTACTCCTGCAGACAGCTTTGCTTGTAGATGCCGGGGTATTGCATGTCAGGGATCACATCCTTCACAGATGGGATCAGATCACGAATTTATGTACTGTGTTAAATCGAATCTGAATCTGTTTGCTCATGATTTTGGAAATATTAATGGTGACCCCTGCTATGTATGGCAAGGTGATGGTTTTGATTGGGTCCTTAGATGGTTATTTCCCAACGGTTGGGGTAATAGCTTTATGGATTGTGTAGTCTGAATATCCATTCATCTTAAGAGCTTGGTGTATGTGGCCAGATGGCTCAATGGGACACTGTCTACAGGAAAGCCACCCATACGGATGCCTACCTAAAACCTGACTTTCACCACCATCCATCCCAGAAGAATTCCCTCATTAAAACTCTACACCATAGAGCTCGATGTATTTCCGACCGTCATCACCTAGCCGGTGAACTGGAACTGTACCCATCTCAAACCTGTATAACCTTTGGCTGCAGTAGCTCTCTCGCTATATTTCTTCCTGCCTCAGAAATCCGCCTGCTGTATTTTTTCACCTGAAGACGATTGCTTGTGTTGCGATCGAAACGTCGTGATTTGTTATTTCATTATATTTATATCTACGTAACTTTACCGAAAGACCCAAAGAGTATGAATTCCTGCAGTCACGAAAACTTTAAGTCAGCATAAAAAATAGTGTAATTATTTCGTGTATACTTCTGGCATTCGATGCTGGACAAATGTGTACGTGTCGCAGGAGACTGAATGCCTTGAAAAAAATGTTCTTCACCTGGGGTGCACGCACCCCTGGGGCTACGAGATGCCCTTTCTGGGGGGTACGAAACATGCCAGATTTCTTTAGAAGATAAATCATTGAAACACAAATGAGCAATGGACACGTAAGTACAACTACTTTGCTTCAACAAACCTTTGTATTTTATTAACGTAATACATTTTTACCGATCGAGAACCAAAGGGACGCAAGGCTGCAGTAAAGGTTATAAGAACCGCTGGTTCTAGAAAATGTATGTAAATATTGGCACGCCTCCACATTGACCTTCATACACATCGATGCATAAATATGAAACTATTTCACTCGAGGCTAAGCTGCACACGGGGGCTGCATATGGGGCTTGCTTGATGATGTATCACCCTCGCACAATAACACATACCTCATCCTCATGATGTATCTGCCTCGCACAATACCACATTCCTCATGATGTATCACCCTCGTGTGACTTCATAACATTTGGAGATATCTGTACGTTTTCGTTATTGAATCAGAGGATTCAAAACATTGTTTTCAGTTCAGCGTCAGATTGTATCCAAGCATTAATTTCATTAATGCTTTCAATGCTCGACGCCCCATGAAAAACATACAGGATGCTTCAATAAGTAATATTTAAAAATACTTTTTTTTAAACACGCTTTAGTGAAATGTACCGTACAAGTAATGGCAGAACTCCACGACTCCAGGAAGTGGCCCCGAAGCTTGCCAACTTGAGTTGAGCATGGACAATTACACCCAAGGCAAAACATAACATATAAAAAATATTGTTTAAAAAAAAATAATGATAGACTATAGTATTGTCATCAGTATGACAAACGTATACCAAGTTTGGAGTCGATACGACATTGGGAAGTGGGTTAAAATTGAGTTACAAGATTTGAGGATACAATAGACAGAGTGAGTTAAAAGCGTGTAAAAAGATGTTCACACTTTTGAGAATTTGCAACAATACCGCAATAAATGTACCTCCGGGCTCTGGAGACCACCTGGAGAAGATTCCAGGCACGCGTTGACAATGACGGCGAACAAGTGGAGACTCTTTGACGTTTTGAAGCCATTAACATACATTTGTTATCATGTTACAGTCTTTTATCTTTTTACATTAAAAACGATAGTCCCATTTCACATTGTTTTAAGCACCCTGTAATGTATTCCCTCACAAGATGTGAAGTATTAATTGACACCCTTTATGTTAAAGTTCAATAATGGATATGTAGTGACGTAAATGGAGTCACGATGGCGTTTAGCGCCAGCTATTGTCACAAGAGTAGAACTGTGCATCTTGGGCCTCTCTCTGGCACCAGAGTTGGTATGGCACGGAAGTGGGGCCCTAGGGGGCATGGTTCTGGTGACGGTCAGATAGAGGGCAAGTGAGGATGTGGCAGTCTGTTTGAACCCGAGAGGGCACGTGACCGGGACAGGGTAGCGACGGGGCCCAAAGGGGGCTTGAGGGACACGTGATGCTCGGTCGAGAACCTTCTGGTAAGATCCAGCAGGGGGCGTGGCCAAAGGCGGGGCGAGACCACGCTCGTGAGCATAAAAGGGAGGTCCCGAGAGGAATCGTGGCTGTTTGCTGGAATGGAACCCTCGGTGCTACGTTTCTTCGGTCGTTACGCTCGGCATCGTGGATCAGGCAGTGCGTTGCTGACCTGACCCGTTTAGGTAGAAACCCTAGCAGCCAAACAATTTCAACGCTTGTTTCTAAATGTGGAGGGGAAAAACTGGAGGGCCTCGGAGAAAAATCCACGTGACCATGAGGAGAACACGCCACCTCCAAATATTCAAACGCCCGGGGGTCGGAATCGAACCCACGACCTCCTACATACCAGGCGAGGGAGATCATCTCTCGCTACCGTCCATGTTCTGTATGGCAGACATCTCGTACTTCTAGTAATGCATCTGTGAGGCTCTTTCATGTTTGACGAATAGAGCACTTGCTACACAGAATGCGATGTGAAACCCCCGGGTGAATTCGAATAATCTATATTTAACCGGTGTTGACATGCATTTTATTTACAATACCCAATCTAACTTGTATCATTTATTTACAAACATTGGAATGATATCGGTACTTCTAGCAATAACAGGTTGTTTCAACTTTTTTTTTACAGTTATAGGTTCTGTCGTAGTTATACATTTTCTTTATTTTCATGATTTCTTAAGGCTCTCTGTGTTTCACGTTTCCTGTAGGCAGTCCTCTGTGGTGAGGCTTGCTAGGCATGTTGTAAATCCACTCTCACGTGCTCGTCATCTGACACACGAATTGGCCCCATGCATGGGTGTCCTAATTCACGAGGGAGATTTTTTTGTTGGTTTTTCTTTTAGATCAGGGGTGGGGAACGTCTGGCCCGTGGGCCGTGTAAGGCCCCGTGAAATCATGTGGTCTGGCCCTGCCAAGGCAACCGCAGGCGAGACTCGAAATTCAATAAATCTAGGAGCAAACATGGAAAAGCAGTTGCGAGTAGCAACATCATCAATACCAGCTAACATCACACGTCTCGCCCAAAGAGAAGCAGCTCCAGCCATCGCATTAGGGGTTAGTTAATTAAATGTTTGACCAAAAAAAACAGGCAATTTTTTAAGTTGATTATTTTGTATGGCCCGCGAATAATGTTATAAATATCCAAATGGCCTTTGGCAGAAAAAAGGTTCCCCACCCCTGTTCTAGATTGGTGGCGTGACTGCTCATTTAGGTGAGAACCCGTACGTCGTGTACTTGTTGTTAACTTGACCTCGCGGTGAATTCAGTGGCTGGGTGTTGAGAAAGTTGGTGATTACCGCGATTAATCAAGCTCAGAATCAGAGTCTTTATTGATCCTGGAGAAATCGGATGGGCTATGAAGTTCTCTTTTTACACGCTTTTATTTATATTTAAACATTTTACACGCTTTTTTATTTAACTCACTCTGTCTGTTGTATCCTCAAATCTTGTAACTCAATTTCAACCGTCTTCTCAATGTCCTATCGACTGCAAACCTGGTATAGGTATGTCATACTGATGACAATACTATATTCTATAATTGAACATTAAAAATATATATTTTAAACGATATTTTTTACGGCTCTAATTGTCCACGCTCAACTCACGTTGCCTGTAAATCACCACGTGGTCCCTTACGTCACGGCAAGCCTCGGGGAGCCACGCCCAGGGGCGGGGGATGTGGAAGAAGGGGGGAGGGGCGAGGGGGGAAGGGGGCAGGGGGAGGGGCAGCTCAGACAGTACATTTCATGAAAGCGTGTTTTTTTAAAAATATTTTTATATATTTTATTTTTACAGATGTCCAGGAGGGGCGGGTCAGAAAGTTACAACAACGATACAATAAAAGTGCAAAGTGTCGGATAGGTAAGCAAATCACTAAAAATAAATCCAGTAATCCCTCGCCACTTCGCGGTTCAAGTTTCGCGGCCTCAGTGCATCGCGGATTTTTCAAAAATATTCTTCGAAAAATACAAATTCAAAAATACCGCCATATCGGCAGCCGTATTGCGGAAAGCAGCGTTGTTTCATCGTGATGCGCGAGAGAAACGGTTTCCCAGGATGCCAGACAAAGAGAGAAACTCTCTCAGAGGCTTTGTACATACTGTACCCACGGGCACTCAGACAAGGCACGTGATTGGTTCCCGGCGCGAGATCGATGAATGAGAGCACGAGTGGATGTACAGTATCCCGTGAGCTGATTGGCTGCGCATCATAATACGTATCGTATGAGAGAGAGAGTGAATGTATAATATTAAGGTTTTATAATTACATTGATTTAAGTAAAATATATATATAAAGTATAAATATACATATTTTAAACATTCTGGTACCCACACACACATATACGGAAATTCCTAGGAGGGCCAATCCTACTTCGCGGATTTTCACTTATCGCGAGGGGTTCCGGTCCCCATTAACCGCGATAAACGAGGGATCACTGTACGTCAAATAGATAAAGTATATAAGTTCAAATTGCATCGAGCTATCCCTTCAGTGCAAGCTTATTCCACCCCCCGCCACCCCGTACAATTGCGAGGGTAAACATCGCACTCGTGTCGTCCACGTGCATCTAAACCACGGATGATTTCAATGAACTTGCAGCAAGCGCTTGCGTTTCTAAAAAGAAAAAGAAATCCCGCGTATACGTTCACAACGCACTCGACAGTAACGTGTGTCTGGCAATGCGCCTTCTTCATCGCCAAAATAATGGATCGGGTTGAATGGATGGTGTGCGTGTTCTGAAGAATGTTGCCAATGTCCGAAAGTCAACGACGGATGTGTTGACTTTGTTGCTTGAACTGTGCCAAATGCGGCACCGCCAAATAATTGACGTGCACGGTTAATGCTGGAGGCGGGGGAGGGCCCGTGGCTTCTCCTTCTGTTTATAAACAAAAGCATCAATGTCATCTCCTAAACATCTACGCATGTTGAACTTCTTTTGCACCGTACGCAGCCAACCGTGCTAATCGGAGGTGCGGGGGAAGGACAACAAACTAAACACACGCCGCAAAACAACTATTCTAAACGAATGTGTTTGTCAATCTCGATTAAGAAGTGCACAGAGCTCCCAATGGCTTCCGAATGTCGGAAGGGAAGAGCGTTCCAGACGGCCGCGGAAGCGCATCTGAAAGCGCCCGCGCGATGCGGTGACCGCCCTTTGTTCAGTGGCAAGAGGGAAATAAGTAATATTTTAGAAAAACGTATTTTTTAAACACGCTTTAATGAAATGTACCGTACTAGTAATGGAAGAACTCCACGACTCCAGCAAGTGGTCCCGAAGCTTGCCATAACGTAAGGGGCCGTGGTGATTTACAGCCAACGTCAGTTGTGCGTGAACAATTAGACCCAAGCCGAAACGTAACATATAAAAAATATTTTTAAAATATTTTTGTTATATTTATGATAGAATATAGTATTGTCATCAGTATGACATAAGTATACCAAGTTTGCAGTCGATACCACATTGAGAAGTGGGTTAAAATTGAGTTACAAGATTTTAGGAGACAACAGACAGTGAGTTAATAGAAAGCGTGTAAAAATATAGCTTCTTGTTACAGAGCTTGTAACAACTGTTCCCATGTCCTTTTTTTACACAAATGTAAAACATGGAGTTCTGGAAAATCTAGTGACCTTCCGCTTGATGGGCGTGTGGGGCTTCTCAGTCGTCAGCTGTTGATCCTGTGGTGTCCAGTTAGAGGGGGACCGATGCAACATTCTTGGGCACGTTTGTGTGCGTGGTTAGCACAAGTATAAATACTATACTGCATCGATGCAAGTTCTGCTGGCTGGAGAGCGCTGCACGATGTATCCGGTGACCCGAGTTCGCTTTGCGCTCACGACCAATGACAGTGGCAAATATTTGAACCGGTCCTGGGCCTCCCCTCGGTCGACTCAGCCTCAAATGATTACCAGAAAGGCAGGGGTCGGCAACCAAAATAAGAAGAAGAGTGCATTTTTTTCAAATATAATTTTTTTTTTACTCAGTATTTCAAGAGGCGCACTGCACTGCGTGGTGAATACGAAACGGCCTTTAACAAGCGACGTCACGGAGCAGCTCCTTAAAGAGCCGCACGCGGCTCCGGAGCCGCAGGTTGCCGACCCTTGCACTAGGGAGACAAAGACGGCCGGGCGTGGTGCTGGCCACCCCACCCCCTTGGCGTGCCGTGCCACGGCCTTCATAGGCGCTACTCGCTAACGACACTTGCCCAAACCGTCTGTTAAAGCTACACGGATGGGGATGTTTTTCTTCGTTGTATGGCAACTCTACGGTTGTGAAAAGCACCCACGAGTACGCGACACGTTCGCAAATGAATGAAATCGGGCGCAAATCCATCAACTGAATGTGGTGGTTAGCTGTCCTGGAGTGCTTCGTGACCTGAGTTCGACTTCCAGCCACGGCTAACATCAGTCGCGAGTGTTACCTGAGCCAGGTGTGCCCCACCCCCCCCCTCCGCACTAACCAGCGTGGTGAAGTATGGTCAAGCAACTCACATATACGATTGACAGATCGATCGTGGGTAGGCCTTGATACAGCGACGGATTGACAATCTTTTTAGAGATTCTCAATATTGAAGTGCCTTGTCTTGCTTTGCCTTGACTATGCACATTCTCAACTGGAAGTGCATCACGACAAACGTACATTCGCGTGTCCTCCACCCTTGATCGAACACAACCACGCGGTCACGTTTCACACTTTGGTCTCCAGAGGATATCGTAGCTCATTCTGCTGCCACTCTCGAGGTCCCAGCTTCTCCTCCGTGTCGCACCACCGGCGTGGTCCGCGCAGGCAGCAAAGGACCCCGCACGGCGAGCACTTCTGTCGGGACCTCTCGGATGACACCACCAGGCCGTCGGTGACGCGCGGCGCCTCGTTGTTCTTGACATTCAACGTCGTCCCCTTCTTAGCCGTCTTCTTCATCTTCTTCTTTATCATCATCATCTTCTTCTGGAGCTCGTAGATGGTGGTGAAGTTGTTGACGATCACGGGCACGGGCAGGGCAATGAGGAGCACCCCGGACAATGCGCACAAGGAACCCACCAGCTTGCCGGGCAGGGTCACCGGGGTCATGTCCCCGTAGCCCACGGTGGTGAGCGTCACCACGGCCCACCAGAAGGCGTCGGGCACGCTGCTGAAGTGCGCCTCGTCCACGCCCACCTCGGCGAAGTAGATGGCGCTCGCGAACAACACGACCGCGATGGCGACGAAGATGAGCAGGGTGACGATCTCCTGGAAGCTGGCGCGCAGCGTCTTCGCCAGCACCTGCAGGGCCTGGCAGTGGCGCGACAGCTTGAGGATGCGGCACACGCGCAGCAGCCGCATGGTCCTGAGCACGGCCAGGTTGCTCGCTTTGCTCTTCTCGCCGGTGGCCGACGAGCCGAGCTGTTCCATGGCCAGGCTGATGATGTAGGGCAGGATGGAGATGAGGTCGACGATGTTCATGGGGTCGCGTGCGAACGCCAGCTTGTCCGGGCACGCGAAGGAGCGGATGAGGAGTTCCAGGCAGAACCACGCGATGCACACGGTCTCCACCAGGAATAGCGGGTCCGAGAAGGGGTCCATCCACTCGGAGCTCGGCTGCGAGTCCGCGGAGTCGTTGCGGCCGTGCTCGTGCCGCCGATGGTGCGTGCTCCTGAATGTGGGCAGGGTCTCCACGCAGAACGTGACCACGGACAGCAGCAGCATGACCAAGGAGAAGATGGCCGTGGCCTTGGCGGACGTGGACGTGTCCGGGTTCTCGAATAGATTCCACAGGTAGCGGCGCACCTTCCCCGAAGGCAGCCGCTGTTGAGCCTTCTTTTTCGCCATCTTCTTCTCGGCCTTCCGCTTCGCCTCTTCCACCTCGTCGTCGTCCGCTAAGCCCTCCTCCTCCCTGAGCCTCTCCACGGCCTCGTCGCCCAGGTCGAAGAAGAGCACCTCACCGATGAAGGTGAGCGGAGGCACGCCACACGGCCGTCTCAGCTCTCCGCCCGACTGGTAGAAGTGGAGCACCGCCTCGAAGCTCGAACGGTGGCGATCGAAGAAGAACTCGCCGCGGTCCGGCCTGTAGAACGGAGCGCGACGCGACTCGTCGCCCAGCAGGGTGCCGGGGTAGCGCTCGAGGGTGCGTCGCTGCGTCTCGAAGCGCAGGCCCGACACGTTGACGACTATCCTCTCGTCGTGAAGGTCGTCGGCCAGGACACCGGACTGCTTTGTTGGCGGTGTGCCGTCCGTCGGGTCGACCAAAGCCGACCAATTCGTGGGCAGCAGTAGATCCTTCACGTCGAGCGAGAAGAGTTCTCCTCGAACGGCGAGCATGGTGAAATTGCGACCACGAATGCAAAAAAAAAAAGCCACACCGACCGCTCAGTTCAGTTTGCGCTGCTCACCTTGTGGTCTCACTTCAAGTTTGGCGGTGCGGCGGCGTTTCGCACGACGCCGGAGGAGTCCGCAACACGAGTCGAGAAAACGTCTCGTTACGCAGCTCATCCACCCTGCTTGGCTTTTCACCGGGCGTGAGCTGTGAGTGAGGTGGCCCTGCAGGTGAGACCGACGTGAAATGTAGAGGCATGTAGGCCACACCCAATCAGACCGCAGGTGACTTCCTGAAATCGTGCGTCAAATTAGCCCTGAGCAGCCATCGCTGATCGCCTTCGAACATAACTTGTGTCATTTTTTGGCTTGCTATGTAATGACAGACTTTGTTTTCCTTTTCGTTTGACTTGTGTGCGCAGAACATACTCTTCAAAAAAATATATAAAGACCTTGAAAGACACCGCGAAAAATCGTGACATTTGAAACACGCCCAACTTGCCAGTGAATAATTACACCTGCAAGTTTTATTGAGACGAAATTCACTCGCGTGCTTCGTTTCTCGTGGATCGTTTTTATTTCCGAGTTGAGCCCTGGACAGTTCCAGGGGAATACATCCATTGGCTTTAGAACGATACAGATCTCAAGTTTGGTCGCTTGTCACAAATCTGTGGGTGCACTGGAGTATGTGTAGTATAGAAATAGCTACAGTGTGTGTGTTTACCCGATCTGTATGAGAGACATTTAAAACATGTTGAGACTTCAGTGGCAGACACAGCTTAAGCTTATCACTCTGATCGACATATTCACTGTATTGCCAAACGTAATTTTACAAATACATCGATGGCTAACACACTATACTCGATATGCTACTCACTGACAACATGGGGCTTTTAAACACAAGGCGATTATTTGTGAAGTGTGACATCCGATTGGCACGGTTGGCTACGTACGGTGCGAAAGAAGTTCAACATACAGTACATACAAACGCCGCGTTAACCCCCATGACGTTATTCCTCCCGCGTGGTATATCATGTAATGTTGAACTTCTTTCACACTGCAATGTCCATGGAATGAATACAACGAGTCAACCGAGGACACGCTCGCGTGTCCTTCCTTGTACATCCGTCCTGGCAATCCACTGCTGGACGAGGGCTCTGCCACGTACGGTGTGTGGCCGTGGGGTCAGTTGACCAGTCTTCACCCACAACGGTCAGTGGAGCCTGTGTGAACCACCTGCCATGCATGGTGTTCGCCCATCCGAACGCAATCCAGTCTCAACAAGCCTGCTTCGCTTCGGAAACATCACGTGCTCAGGTGCATTCCGTGGCGTCTGGAGCGGTCAGACACAGCTCTTATTGGGTCGGGTACGGCCACAAAATGTCCTGTTGCCGTAATAACGACTAATACGTCTGTGCGATTCATTTTACATTTAGGGGAGGGGAAATAAACCGGAAATCTGGGCCATCGACATACATGTCCACGTGTTGTTTAATGGAACAATAAAAATAGATGACAATTACCGTACGGGTATTTCTCGGGCGAATGAACGCGCTCATTGCTAGCGAGAGGCCGATGATTCAAACCCCGTCACGTCATCTTGCCACAACCAAAAATTCCTTTCCACCTGCCTGTCATCAGTTCATGCAAATGGAGCGGACCGAGCCCTCACTAAACAACCCAGTACATGCGGTTTGCAGGAGGGCTGCTTGTTGTATCCGTTAGCCCATTGACGCGTGACTTCGTTTCTTCGTCCGCGAAAACTTAAATTTACCCGCGGCCCTATTCTTTATATTGCACTCGATATTTCCCCTATGGATAAGTGGAGTGAATTCGCGGATACAACCATGGGTAATAGGATACGCAATATGCGTCCCCCGTTTCAAAACGGAGAACAAGAGTTCCCACGTGTCGTGGTTTACACCGCTACGTAGGCGTTTGTATGTGTGTTGAACTTTTTTCGCACGGTACGTAGCCAACCGTGCTAATCAGACAGTTCTAAAGAAATTAGTTATTATTTTAGATTTAAAAGTGCATAGCTCCAGTGGCTTCCTGGTATCAGAAGAGCATTCCAGACGGCCGCGGGAGCGCATCTGAAAGCGTGCAGTGCGGTGACCGTCTTTGTTCGATGGCTCACCAAAGGACGCTGCTGCGAGGATCATGATGGTTTATGCTCCTTGATGAGACCAGCAAGGTATTGTGGTTCGTTTGTGCCAAACACTCTGTGTGCAATGAGTGCGACCTCGTTCGGCTGTGCTGGATTAGCTCTCCGATGTACCGCGTGTTCATCTTCTTGGTTCTTTCGGTAAAGTCACGTAGAAGGGAAATAATAAAGTAATAAAAATAAAACATCATATATTATTTTATACTATATTATTTTATTATGTTTTATTTTAATTATTTTTATTATTTCCCTTTTACGTGACTTTACCGAAAGAACCAAGAAGATGAATCCCTGCAGTCACGAAAGCTTTAAATCGAAATGTAATTATTTTATTATTTGTATTATTTTATTACTTCCCTTCTACGTGACTTTACCGAAAGAACCAAGAAGATGAATCCCTGCAGTCACGAAAGCTTTAAATCGAAATGTAATTATTTTATTATTTGTATTATTTTATTACTTCCCTTCTACGTGACTTTACCGAAAGAACCAAGAAGATGAATCCCTGCAGTCACGAAAGCTTTAAATCGAAATGTAATTATTTTATTATTTGTATTATTTTATTACTTCCCTTCTACGTGACTTTACCGAAAGAACCAAGAAGATGAATCCCTGCAGTCACGAAAGCTTTACATCGAAATGTACCGCGTGTTGTTTGGCACGATGTCCGATGTTTCGCTCCACGTGGTGCACGGTGGTCCAGTTCGTGTGTTGCTCGAAAGGAAAGGCGGCTCCGCCAATTTTTTCTTATTCATAAGCAGCTCAACGGTTCAATTGGAAGGGTGGAAGCTGCCCCTCAAACAATTAATGAATCACCGAGCTCATCCCCAACGACAGCCATGAGTCACTGGATTAAATTCAGCATTCCTATGACAGAGACCAAATAAAATGTTTCCATAGAACAAATAATTTTCCTTCTAACCTAGCGATACGGCCTTACCAGGTTGTGCTTATTTTACCTTCCCCATAGCAATGATGATGATTATTATGATGATGATGGTGGGATCCTGCTACAGCTCACTCCAGATCACCAGCATTGCTTTGAGTAAGCCTGACGTTCTAGATTTGAAGCTTTCGTGACTGCAAGGATTCATATTCTTAGGTTTTTTCGGTAAAGTCACGTAGGTAAAAAATTAAAATTAATAAAAGTTAAATAAGGCTCATTCCTAACAGCGTGCTTCAGCCGCACCGAACCTCACACAAACAATATTCAGGGCCTACCTTGGCTCCTCCCACCCTCAACCAGTATATATACAAATACTGTTTCTTGGAATTTCTCTCACTTGATACAGCTATCGTGCTGTGACGGTTCCACCTGAAGACGGAAGCTTGTGTTGCCTCCGAAACGTCGTGATTTATATTTTATTTTTATTTTACTTTTATAAATTTTAATATTTTACCTACGTGACTTTACCGAAAAAACCTAAGAATATGAATATAAGCCCGACGATACTGATGTGATTACTGAATGCTGAAAGCGGTCCAGAGTTTACTTGGGTTCTTGTGTTCGGCCAATGCTGCTGCTGTAACAATTAACTCTAACAAACGCCGCGAGGCGGATGAGATGCGTAAAATAATGCTGCTGCGTTTTGTGTACAGACATTGATATGCCAAGGAGGAATATTGTCAGCTTATTTATTTTCCTCCGAAGTTCAGTCACTACCCAGAATGGGACATTGATGCGAAGATGTCATTCGTGTCGTCCAATACAACTGATGCCAAAAAAAAACCCCTACACACATCACCATCGCTTCCTTTCTTTTGCTAGACCGCTAGACCCTGCAGGTGTTGCGGGCGTGAGCCTCGTTGCAGGGACTCTAATTCACGAAATAAATATGCAGGAAATTTGTCTCCTCGTGATAAAACAAAGGGATTTTCTCGGCATCACACCAAGCCACAGTGCGTAACCTCAGCAGGGTTTGGTTCAAAACGAAAAAAGTCGAGACCAGTTTCGACATTCAATGTCTCATCGGCAGCGCCAGGCTTGGCTGCACTAATGCGGATTAACGGCCAGACGTCACAGGCACGGACCCCCCTTCCCGAAGGCGTGAGTCACCGAGTTCGGCGCGAAACTTTATTTGTACAGAACGCAACATAAACACAATCCTGCGGAGGGAGCTGGTAGGAACGTTGGGTTGCTGGGTCAATGGCCAGGGTCAACGGCGGCGTGGTGTATATTCCGCAAATATGCCCGACTGTGAGGGCGGGCACAATCCGGCGTGAGTAGGTTAAACGTTGAGTTTTATAAGGGCACCACGGGGTGACCAGCCCCTCCCCACCCAGCCCCTCCCCACCCAGCACCTCCCCACCCAGCCCCTCCCCACCCAGCCTCTCCCCACCCTCCCCTCTTCACCCAGCCCCTACCTGCACGACGGATGGACGGACACAATAATCCCCTGTGGGCTGGTGGAACCAGTGGGTTCCTACCAGTATCAAAGCACCGTGGTGGAGAAGAGAAGTAACAAGAGAAATAAGTACAATCTCCGTATTCCTCATTTGTTCCTAATATAGGTTTTTTTTTAGTGTTTAAATCGCGTAAATATATAAATGTGTCGTTAAACCCGCCACCACCCGACACAGCCAACTAGTAAGGTTTGTCACGTAAACAGAACGTGCCAATTCGTTGCGAGTACAGCACCACCGCTGTGTTGGAGACTAAATCCACAACATTTACGATCAGAGTACGACGTTTCCCCAGTAATTACAACCAACTTCATCAGGCGACAGCCATATTCGTGGAGAAATCCTCCTATCAGAGGTCACAACCGGGTACCCGATACCCGTTTGCGACCCTGGTGCGGCCGGGTAAGGGTACGGGTAGACCGTGAGTCACTGGTGAGTAACTGTTTGTCACTCATTTCCCAACGTCTTGTCTCTTTTCACAATTCAAGTTCCTAGAATCAACCCACCCGCGCCTGCAACATGGCTTCATCCCAGAGGTCGCAATCAGGTACCCGATACCCGTACTCTACCCGTACCCCGCTGGGTACGGGTAGGGTACGGGTACGGCCGGGTACGGGTACCCGTTTGCGAC